AAGTCATTATGCAAGGTAGCCTGTTTCCTCTTGTTTTTTCCTACCCCCCCCCCCCCAGATGTTCTGGTTTAACTTGGATTTAAACCTGGAGAGTGGTCAGTTTAGATGAGCTATTACCAGCAGGAGAGTGAGTTTGTGTGTGTATGGGGGTGGGGGGATGTGAGAAAACCTTGATCTATGCAGGAAATAGCCCGACTTGATTATGTAAAGAGTTGTCACTTTGGATGGGCTAGCACCAGCAGGAGAGTGAATTTGTGTGGGGGGTGGAGGGTGAGAAAACCTGGATTTGTGCTGGAAATGGCCCACCTGTTGATCACTTTAGATAAGCTATTACCAGCAGGACAGTGGGGTGGGAGGAGGTATTGTTTCATGATTTCTGTGTGTATATAAAGTCTGCTGCAGTTTCCACGGTAAACATCTGATGAAGTGAGCTGTAGCTCACGAAAGCTCATGCTCAAATAAATTGGTTAGTCTCTAAGGTGCCACAAGTACTCCTTTCCTTTTTGCGAATACAGACTAACACGCCTGTTCCTCTGAAACCTGTCATTGTAGGGAGAGTGGTCACTTTGGATGAGCTATTACCAGCAGGAGAGTGAGCTTGTGTGTGTGGTTTTTGGAGGGGGGTGAGGGGGTGAGAGAACCTGGATTTGTGCAGGAAATGGCCCACCTTGATTACCATGCACATTGTGAAGAGAGTTGTCACTTTGGATGGGCTATTACCAGCAGGAGAGTGAGTTTGTGTGTAAGGGGGTGGAGGGTGAGAAAACCTGGATTTGTGCTGGAAATGGCCCAACTTGATGATCACTTTAGATAAGCTATTACCAGCAGGACAGTGGGGTGGGAGGAGGTATTGTTTCATGATCTCTGTGTGTATATAATATCTGCTGCAGTTTCCACGGTATGCATCCGATGAAGTGAGCTGTAGCTCACGAAAGCTCATGCTCAAATAAATTGGTTAGTCTCTAAGGTGCCACAAGTACTCCTTTTCTTTTTGCGAATACAGACTAACACGGCTGTTACTCTGAAACCTGTCATTAAAACAAAAGTTAGTGTAAAAGTTCAAGGACTTGAATACCCACTTTCAACAACTGGGACAGCCAATGAATGAAATTCACTCATGGTGCAGAGGATTGGTGTGCAAGGTCCTCCTATTTAAGCCCCCGCAAGGCCTAAGTGGATGTCTACTATCAATTGTACAGAGGAACATGCACAGCTCTTCAGAAACAATCTCTATGGCAGCAACACATACCCCATTGTGGAAAGCTACAAGAGAGGTGGATCAGCTTATGCGTGGGTTTCAGTATCCCACACAACTAGCACAGGGAGACTAATGTATGTAAGGGAAGAACTAGAAAAAGTGTCCCCAATGACAAAAACAAACAAACAAAAAATCTTTAGGCTTTGATCCAGCAAATATCATGGGTGAAATCCTGGTTCCACTGAAGTCAATGACAAAACTGCCATGGACTTCAATGGGAACAAGAATTCACCCTATGGGCTTAGGGTTGCCAAACCCCCAGGAATTAACGATGAATCTTTAATTAAAGACTATGTCATGTGATGAAACCTCCAGGAATACATCCAACCCAAATTGGTAACCCTAGGTTTAATGTTATTGATGTGATTAAGTAAAGTTTGCAGGCTCGTGCCCTTATTTTTTTGCACTTAGTGCATATATAGAACTGCCATTTAAACCCTACACTGCTGAATTCATAGCTATCACGTGCAACATGAATGCGAATCCCACATTCAGAACAATTATATTCCACCCTTAGGTTGAAATCCTAGCTCCCCTGAAGTCAATGGGAAAATCCTCCCATTGGGAGGATTGGAGCTAGGACTTTGCCCTCAGTGTTTACCCAAGACTTCTATGTGATGCCAAGAAGAGTTTCATTTAAGGGTAGCAAATACAGGCTGTCATCTTGCTGTCATTCCAAGAGAAAAATTCCTACTGGACACTTGAAACACAGAGGACCTTAAGTTATGATGACAAGAAAAGTTATTGAAAAGAGTTCGAATAAAACTGAGTATCCTTGCCCCCCCCACAGAAGAAAGTGAAGAGTTTTCAGAGATAATCTGCAGATCAAGTGCATCAGGAAATAAACTATCTGCTGCCTGATATACAAGATACTTCAGAGACAAAGTCAAATAGTTCTAATAAAATTTACAAATAATTTAAAATGCTACGGTCAAGTTCTGCTCCCAGTTCAGAAGAGTCCAGTGGAGTTACACTGGATTTAAAACCAGTGTGAATAAGAGTGGAATTCAGTTCCCTGTTTGAGAGAGCACCACCCAAAGCCTTGTGAAACTGAAATGGGTAAGTTGTGTTATTAAAAAGCTACTGTTTTCCATTTTGATGGTGGGAAGAAACAAAAATATACATTGTGCATAGAATCCAACCTACATTAATATTATGGTAAATATTTCTAAACGCCCAGACCACCAACATATGTCTGCTCTCTTCCTAGGCTTGGGTCAACAGAGTAAAGTACAATAAAACCTTCAGACCTAAAGTATAATGGGTTAATCCATAGCTATACTGTATGTCACCAGAGACTATGAGTTTGCTAAAATATTATGGGCCCCTTCTGAGGTTTAGAAGAATTGGACTCCTTTAAACTGTCATCCAAAGGCAGATTTATTCTTGAATTTTGTGCGCAGACTCTGTAACTTATATATAATTGGGCTTTTTGTTCTAATCATGAACATTCAAGGCTTAACTGTTATCATTTTGTGTTTGCAGAGTTTGAAAGAACTTTAATGGTAAGCTGAGAAAGATAATTTCTCTTTCGACCCTGCCTTATGCATTTTTAAATGTTTTTTCCTGATTCCATAATAACCTATTTAAGCTTAGCATCCCATTTCAAAGCACATAAATAACCAAAAGCAAGTAAATGATCCTGTGAGTGAGTCATGCATACCCCTTTCTCATGCAAGTAACCCAAGGATTACTCAAGTGAATAAAGACTATTTGTATTAATAAAATTTTGCAGCATTATCTGAATTCTATTTTAAAAATAAAGAGCCTGATCCTGCAATCAATCTGAAATCAAAACTTCCATGTCACTTCTGTAGGAGAAGACAATGTATTTCTTGTTACTGGGGGCAGCGGGGTTTTTTTTTAAAAAAAAAAGGAGAATTTGGGGCCCTTTAGAAACCCAAACAAATTTTTTGAGGAGGTTTTGTGAGCTACAGCTCACTTCATCGGATGCTGTTCACTGTATTTAGGAGTCTATTTTTTTTAACATTTTGAGTAATATTAAGATCAAATCTCTTTTGCCTTACTTGTACAAATAGCCCCACTGAAGACATGCTTGTTTACAAAATTTGCAGGACTGAGTCGCATAGCTGTCATTAATTATTAAACCAGAAAATAAATGGCCTCATCATGAGCTTCAGATATTTTTCATATTTTAATAATAATACTAGTTATTAAAAGGACATTGTCAACCACTTAGGCTCATTTAAATTTTGTAAAATAAAGTGCTGTCCTGAGAGAATTGGAGGGTGGAGGTATGGGGGTGTGTGAAATTTACAAAACTTGATCTGAATATAAATGCAAAAGAAGCCAGTGAAAGCAATTTTGTGTTGCTTATTTTAACATACGTAATTAATTCCCCGAGCCTTAAGTTGTGTGCTGACAGAGGCTTTTATAAGTCTACAGAGAGAAAGCTGCAATATATCTGGCCCATCACGTACGTACTCTACTAGCAAACTAGAGACAGTACGGATTACAAACACAGCTCTGCTGCTAAAAGCCAGATTTTCCAAGAGAAGGTTTTAACACAACAGTAAATTCATTCTGCTTTGTCCTCTCAATTCGGGGTCACGCCGATCCTAATTCTTCTTCCGCCACCACTGACCCCCGCAGCCCAACGGTTCGGGCCTTCTGGTCCCACTTGTCGTGGGTCACCGGCTAACACGGGCAGCGCAGACCACTGCGCCACCAACGCGCACATACCGGCCCTGCAAACACCCTCCTTCCAGGGCCGGCCTCCCTCCCGCGCCTGCCCACGTCCCGCCCCCTCCTGTGCCCGCCCCGCCCCTGCCCCGTGCCTGTCCACGCCCCTCCCCCTCCTGTGCCCGCCCCGCCCCTCTCCCGCGCCTGCCCACGCCCCTCCCCCTCCTGTGCCCGCCCCGCCCCTCTCCCGCGCCTGCCCACGTCCCTCCCCCTCCTGTGCTCGCCCCGCCCCCCGCCTGCCCACGTCCCTCCCCCTCCTGTGCCCGCCCCGCCCCTCTCCCGCGCCTGCCCACGCCCCTCCCCCTCCTGTGCCCGTCCCACCCCTCTCCCGCGCCTGCCCACGCCCCTCCCCCCTCCTGTGCCCGCCCCGCCCCTCTCCCGCGCCTGCCCACGTCCCTCCCCCTCCTGTGCCCGTCCCGCCCCTCTCCTGCGCCTGCCCACGTCCCGCCCCCTCCCGTGTTCGCCCCGCCCCGCGCCTGCCCACGCCCCTCCCCCCTCCTGTGCCCGTCCCACCCCTCTCCCGCGCCTGCCCACGCCCCTCCCCCTCCTGGCCCCCCCCCCCCCCTCCCCGTCCCTCCCCCTCCTTGCCTCCCCCCCTCTCCTCGCCTTCCACGTCCCCCCCCTCCCTGTTCCCCCCCCCGCGCCTGCCCACTCCCCCCCCCTCCTGTGCCCGCCCCGCCCCTCTCCCGCGCCTGCCCACGCCCCTCCCCCTCCTGTGCCCGCTCCGCCCCTCTCCTGCGCCTGTCCACGTCCCGCCCCCTCCCGTGTTCGCCCCGCCCCGCGCCTGCCCACGCCCCTCCCCTCCCTGTGCCCGCCCCGCCCCTCTCCCGCGCCTGCCCACGCCCCTCCCCCCTCCTGTGCCCGCCCACGCCCCTGCCCACGCCCCTCCCCCTTCTTGTGTCCGCCCCGCCCCTCCCCCGCGCCTGCCCACGCCCCTCCCCCTCCTGTGCCCGCCCCCGCGCCTGCCCACCTCCCTCCCCCTCCTGTGCCCGCCCCGTCCCTCCCCAATCTGCCATGGCGCGCGCCCCGCCCCCTCCCCGGACGCTCCCGCCGGAAGTCGAGACGCGCGGCCACCCCGGCTCTTATCTAAGATGGCGGCGGTGGTGCTGACTGCAGGTTCTGTGGTGGCCCGACGGCTCCTCTGGGCTTGGCCTGGCCGCCACCTGGTGCGGGGTTCGGCCCCAGCGAACTCGGTGAGTGACGGGGATCGGGGCGCTGGGGAGATGCTGAGTGGGTTCCCAACCCTCTGGCCGGGCCACAGGCTGCCGGCAATTAAAAGGCAATGGGCTGCCTCCAGCGCGGTGCATGCTGGGAGCTGTAGTCGCAGCTCGTTGTGGTTTTCATGGGGCCGCTGGGAGTTGTAGTCTCAGCTGAGGTTATTGTCACGGGGTCGCACTGCGCCCCAGGACCTGCCCAGACTCTCCCACCCCGCGCCCCCACCCTAAGCTTTGTAGTCGCCCGGCTGTGCGGGATCTGTGCAAGCCACAGTGCGTGTGGCCCTGCAATTTTTGGCTGAAGCTGGAGCAGCCTGCTTAATTCTGTAGGCTATATGGGATGGTGTTGCAGGCTGAGCTCTGGGTTCCTTGGATAAAAACATGGATCTGTTCAGACTGAGGAGCTGTAGACGTTGGCCCTTCTGGGACTAGTTCAGGTACTAACATGGACCCTTACTGTAATATCTAAGCCCCTCATAATCTTTAATGCTTTTACTATTATCCCCATTTTACACATGGGGAACTGAGGAACAAAAAGATTAAGTGGCTTGAGCTGAACCCAAGTTTCTCACAGACATTGAATTAAAAGGGGTCAGCTGCAGACTGGTCCATTTTATGCTCCTTCATGCCTCCTTTCTGGGCAGAGTTGGTGCATTTCTGAGGAGAAGAGCAGTGGCCACCAAATCAATGCTAATTTTACAAAACAAAAATAAATAATTCATACTTCTAAGTTCAGGAATGTGCTGTCCTGACAAGCATTATGGGTACCTACAATTTGTAATTTATGGCTTTTCTTTACAGTCCATACAACTTGGGACAAGCAGATTCAGATCCACCAAGGCAGCACCGCAAATAGTCTTAAATGTTCCTGAGACTAAAGTGTGTTCTCTGGAAAATGGGCTGAGAGTAGCTTCTGAAGATTCTGGACTCTCAACATGCACAGTAGGCAACTTGTGAATGAATTTTTTACTTAACTATCTACATGTATTTTCATTACATTGTGAAATTAGATGTACTATTATCGTTAAGAGTATTTAGCAGAAGTAGTTAACAACAATTTGTAAATAATGAACACAAGTTTGTGTGAAGGTAGGGCTAAGCCTTTCAAAAGTGACTAGTGATTTTGGATGCCAAACATGAAACACTGTAAAGGGGTCTGATTTTTCAGAGCATGGGTGCTCAGCACTTTCAGAAAATTGTGCCCCTTTAACTGCAAATTAGTTTACCCCAAAATTGAGGCACCCAAATCACTAGTTACTTTTGAAAATCCATATATAATCTATTTATAAAAAGTAAAATCTTAGCCAAAGTAAGAACCAGCAAAACAATGCCAATGCTATCTTCTATTAGATAGTAAGATTAATATTTGTATTTAATAAGGTTGGTCTTTGGATTGATGCTGGAAGCAGGTATGAAAATGAGAAGAACAACGGAACGGCTCACTTTCTGGAGCATATGGCTTTCAAGGTAAGTATTAAAACTAGTTTTCAGATGTTTTTAAAATTAAAGTTGTTTACTGATCTTTAAGGATAACTATGTAGACTCTTTACAACTGATTTCAGTCAATCACTTTTCAAAATCACCAGGAAAACGCAAGCAATTTGGATTTTTGTCCAAAATAAAAATCAAGGATAAAATCCTGGCCTCATTGAAGTTGATGGCAAAGTTGCTGTTGACTTCAGTGGAGTCAGGATTTCACCTCAGATCTGTATGGCTTCACCTGTACATTTGCATGTGCTGCTCTAGCCTTGCCTGAAAGAAAAATTTCATGTTCGATCTATAAGAAACGAAAAACAAACAAAAAATGGCTGACAGAAGGAATTCAAGAATGATAGATCTGTTAGTTTCAGGAATTAGTTTTGCATGTTGTTTCAGCATTTTAAAGTTAACAATTTGAGTACTTACTGAGGTGCAGTCAAAACAACACTGGTCTGAGTAGGTGTTGTGTAACCTTCCTTCCATATTTCTGCTGCTATGTTTAAATCCTGAACTGATCCACTCCTGCTGATACCTGAGATTGGTAGAGTTGAGTCATGCTGAATTTAACTAATCTTTGTAGGAGACAAATAGGTACTCTGTCCTCAAGTTAATTTTCACTTGGGATTTGTGCAGGCTTTAAACTTAGTTTTCCAGTGGGGAAAGACTGATGTGCCAGCCTTCCCTGCCTCAGACCAGTTGTTTCTCTTGTGCTCAAATCAGCTTTTTAAAAAAAATAAAAATAAATAAACCCTTACTATTCCCTATGTGTAAAAGCTGCTTTGTGGGTAGGTACCTTCCGGAGTGCAAGTAAATATTTTTTTCCCTTTAATTTCAGGGGACAAAAAAGAGGTCTCAATTAGACTTGGAACTAGAGATTGAAAACATGGGCGCTCATCTTAATGCCTACACGTCCAGAGAACAAACTGTGTATTATGCAAAGGCTTTCTCAAAGGACTTGCCAAGAGGTAACTGCTTCTGTCCTACAGAATTTCTGAAGGAGCATCCTTCCTAAAGATTTTGAGGAGGGGAGCAACAAGGAATTAAATGAGCTGACAGCCCTCTAAAGAAGCAGAAATGGGAGAACAGTGCCTCTGCAGTGTGCTTCCCACCTCCTTTCCTTGGCAATCCCCCTGTTGAAACTCCATGGGGATGAGGCTTAGCAGGTTTGGAGAAGAGCATTTCAGCATTGTGTCCCATGCTTGGCACCTCTCCTGGGGACCAAGTGGCTCTCCTTTGGGGCTAAAGATGTGAAATTCATCTCTCTGAGATCTGCAGGGGAGTAAGCGGAGTTTTCAGACCATGTTCCCTGCCCCTACTTTGGCTCCCTTGTCCTTCTAAGGGAACTTTTTTCAAACACACTGGGAGGTTCACTTTAGAATCTTGAGCATTCTGTGCCCCTTCAGTGTGTTTGATCTTGGGAAGGTATGATAGGGCCCTGGATATTTGTGTTGTGGTTAACTTAAGCTGTTTGTTTCTCTCTTCTTGGAAGCTTGTTTTTCACAATATGCTTAGAGACAAAGGGCTGCCAGTTGAAGAACAAGCTATATTTTTGTTTAGTTTTCTCAAATTGTTTGTTCTTGGTATGTCTAAGTGAATTGTCTTACGCCATAGTGTTCATCTGAAATAAAATAATGCATATTGACAATTCCTTGATGAGAAGTTTTAGAAATCCCTGAAGAACACACATTCTCTCCAAGAAGGGCACTAAAGTTTTCCTAAAACAAATATTACAAAATAAGATTACACTATGTAGAAGTTTATTTTCAATTTTCTGTTAGATCTTCCTGTAAGCTTTGCTAACAGTTCTGCCCACTTATTATATGTATTTGAGCTGCTTATTTGATTACAATATAGTGAGCTGAAAGTTTCAATATTGCCGAAGCACACTTGCCCCCCATTCCTTTGTGTTTTCAACTAGCTGTGGAGATTCTTGCTGACATCATACAGAACAGTACACTGGGGGAAGCAGAGATCGAGCGGGAGCGAGGAGTTATCCTTCGAGAGATGCAGGAAGTTGAAACCAATTTGCAGGAAGTTGTCTTTGATTATCTTCATGCCACAGCCTATCAGAACACTACATTGGGACGGACAATATTAGGACCCACAGAAAACATCAAGTAAATCCAGCTTCTGTTTCTCCTTTGTCTTAATTTCATGGTTACTTTCCAGTATTAGAAAACCACACTTAAAGATAAATGGAACAATTTCTGTTCTCTTTTTGCCTTATGAAGTGTTTGGGGTTGCCCAAGGTGGAATTGAAAGAGGAATTTCCTCTGAATGCTTTACACTCAGTCGTACATGTTTGGAATAGTGTCCAAAGCAATGTGAAACTTCTGTTTCGTAGAACTTGTCTACACTTAAAACGCTGCAGTGGCACAGCTGCATCGCTCCAATGCTGCAGTGTAGACACTACCTATGCTGACAGGAGGTGTAGTAATTTTTTCTTTACCAGTACAGATCCATAAATCGCAATGACTTGGTGGAGTACATAACAACACATTATAAAGGACCCAGAATAGTGCTGGCTGCTGCTGGAGGTTAGTGTGAGACATGCATCGCTGCAAGCACTTGAAAATAAGGTTTAAAAATACAGCACTTCAACTTTGAGAGGGTACAAAGATCAGATGCAGAAATATGACTTATCCACTACTTAATAGGTCATAGAAGTCTATTAGCCCTCAAAGTTCTGTATATCTGCATCTCATCTGTTTTCCCCTCAGTAATCTTCCAGGGACATCCTTAAATGTATCTTTAGGCAAGGAGGGTGCTTGGCTTTCAACTGAGAGGCTGTTCCGAGTGTAAGAGGACAGTGTGACAGAGAGCACAAAGCCACAAATGTAGGAAGGAGATGGTGTTCAAAATGGGAGAGGGAATAGGATAAAATAGAAAGGTGGGGTGAGATTATGTAGGGCCTTGAAGTTGAGAACAAGGAGCTTGTGTTTGGTGCTGTATAAGATAGAGGAGGCAAGAAAGGTGGTGAGGAAGATGATTTTAGCAATGGCATTTAATGAAGTGGAATGGGTGGGGAGGAAATCAGAAATGTACAGTAATCAAGTTGGGAGAGAACCAACAGTTATGATGGATTGTTGTAACTCTGGCATCTTGGTTGGAGCTTTTTAACTTCTGTGAAAAATGATCTTAGATGATACGTTTTTTAAAACTGCTTTATATGAAACTCTTGTTCAGGAGTCTCTCATGATGAATTGCTTGATTTAGCAAATTATCATTTTGGTAACTTACCATCGACTCAGGAAGGAGGAATGCCAGCCCTGCCCCCTTGCAGATTCACAGGTAGTGAGGTAAGCAGTAAGATTGCTTTTTGCCTTTTCAGGTTAATCAGATCAACAAGCAACACTGATTAATATTAACCAATTGTCTGGTTTGATCTGAGTTTCTAGTGTTAACTTTCAATGCTAAGCACCCATCACTCCCATTAAAGTTAATAGGAGCAGCTGATGCTCACCATCCTTGAAAATCAGCCTGTTCACTTGATATATTTCTGGGCAGGGGTTTTTAAAGGTTACAGCAGAGGAACTTGGGACTCCTGGGTTCTGTTCCCAGCTCTGTCCCGACTCTGACAAATCACTTAGCCATTCTATGTCTTCACTTAATCATCTGCAAAATGACTATTATAATGACTTCCTTACACACAGCTTTAGGTTTACACAGACAGTTAAGAGTATTATTGAGTAAAGTTTTTTACACTTTGCATTAGATTTTATTTGAAAGTTCCTAGTTTCCTTTATTTGAATGAATAAATGTACACGCTACAGTATGTTCGCTGCATTACATTTGGAGTTAACATTTTTGTGATTCAGATTCGTATAAGAGATGACAAGATGCCTTTGGCACACATCGCAATAGCTGTCGAAGCAGTTGGCTGGTCTCACCCAGATACAATTCCCCTTATGGTAGCAAATACTCTGATAGGCAATTGGGATCGTTCCTTTGGAGGAGGCGTGGTGAGTGAACCTCAGGGCACTTTGGTGAGGGTTGATTATACCAGTAAGGGGTGTTGAATTCAGTTATTTGCCAGCATCAGTACACTTCACAAATTCTACCTTGTCTGAGATGGAATTGAGTTACCTGGCTATTTCTATCAGCATTAAAAAAAATCAAAATCTAGCCCAATGGTCTCTGAGTGCATTCTGTTGCCATGTGACATGAGAATTTGGGTGCAGGTGCATTTTGGGAATGGCACACTGAATAACCCAAGTGGAGGAGCCCTCATATAGCCTAGCAACCTATAGTGAAAACAAGTGGGGAAAAACTAAATAGGCTCCAAAGCTGTAGGCATTGAATATCCCAGTGCCTGTTCCCTCTCTTGGAATCTTACTAGCTATTTTTATAGGACTTTTTAAAAACAAAACAAAACAAAAAAACCTTTGCAGTTTAAAACTGACAAGTTCAAGGTGTCACTTGGAGAGTGAAATATTAGCTTCAGAAGAGGAAGCTGCCTGTTCTATACAAAAGCATCTGGTGCATACTCCTAGCAGTATTGTTGGCTGTGGAGGAAGCTACCAATCTGTCACACTTGAAATAGCAATGAGTGAGCTTAGTGGGGGGGAGAAATTTTAGGATTTCGGGGTTTTGGTTTTTTTAATTATCTTCTTGTGTAAACAGAACTTATCCAGCAAGCTTGCCCAAATCACTTGCCATGGCAACCTGTGTCATAGCTTCCAATCTTTCAACACCTGTTACACTGATACTGGACTGTGGGGGCTGTACATGGTTTGTGAACCATCCACTGTACAGGATATGATGCACTTCGTTCAGAGAGAGTGGTAAGAAAACACATTTTCTCCAAGTAGCTTGTTTTGGGTTGAGGAGTGGCTATTTAAAAATAGCCGCTTTTTCAAAAATGTGTTCTGTGTTTATCACTGTCCAAATTATTTGGGAAAGAACAAGTAGACTAAATTCAGAAGCTTGTGATGTTTGTTTCTCCCACCCTTGCTTCACTCTGACTGTACCTTACACTGGAAGTAGCTCAAATGAAAGCAGTGGGTTTACTTGAAGAGTAAGGTACTACTTGGAAGAGTAAGAGTGGCAAAATCTGGCTCAAAACAGTAGTAATAGCCATTTGATTTACAAATTACATTACCCTTCCCATCCCTCCTCCTGCCAGAAAATGTAATCTTCTGTGGAGTAAGATGCAAACTAAATAAGGTCTGTTACATCTTCTCTAACTTGATTGGAGGGTTTATAAACTGCAGACTCGGTGGCATTTAGTTTACATTTCAGAGAAGCACATTCAATTACTTAACTTACTAACACAGTAACGGCATGGATGATGGCTAATTGCACAAGCAAATGACCAATTAGACATTTTATCTGGCACTTAACTGTAGTTCTGGTGATTGCCAGTGAAGATGTAGACACAAGGTGGGTGAGGTAGTATCTTCTATTGGACCCACTTCTGTTGATGAAATTATAGTAAGTACATTGTAACTAAATGAAATTGTAGGTGTGTGATTGTGCAAGGATTTCTCTGAAAATTAGGCTGGGGAATGGTGTAACTTAGGGCCTATTTTGAGTCATCTCGACACCAGAGTACCCACCTTCTGAACTGGCTGAGTACAGTTGGACTACATGAGCCACAGATAAAATTCAAGTCAGATAAGAACGTTTCTTGGACATTTTGCAAGGGGCTTTTTGTCCTTTCATAGGATGGGCTACATCCTGAAGAGGTTTCTGTGGCCCATCTCCCCTCCTGTTCTTCCCAAATCTAGTTACGTGATGTTTATGGCAACTACAGCAATTAATTAAATGTAGTTTTTTGTTTGCTTAATGGAATTGAGCATTGTTGGGGGAGGGGGTAGGCTAGCCCTGTGTGACCAGCCAGCATGGTGTAGCCCAGAGTTTGGAAACCTCTGTTTTAATACATCTCCCTGCACTTGCAGTTAGGAGTTGTTTCCCTGTGCAGTGGCTCTCAACCTTTCCAGACTGCCAGACCCCTTTTAGGAGTCTGATATTTGTCTTGTGTACCCCTAAATTTCACCTCACTTAAACTACTTGCTTACAAAATCAGACATAAAAATACAAGTGTCTCAGCACACAACTACTGAATAAAAGCTTACTTTCTCATTTTTTGCCCTGTAATATCAATTGGAATATAAACATACTTTTCAGTGTACAGTATATAGAACAATATAAACAAGTCATTGTGTGAAATTTTAGTTTGTACTGACTTTGCTAGTGCTTTTTCTGTAGGCTGATGTAAAAATAGGCAAATATCCAGGTTAGTTGATGTACCCCTGGTTGAGAACTGCTGCCCTAGTGTAGTACTTTTTGTTTAGTTCTAAACATCTCAATGATATGGCTTTCCCAATCTTCCTGTGGAGACTAACAACTTTAAGTGGTTTGTGCCATTAGAAAGCTTCCTCAGATTCAACCTACATTTACCCTTTAGTCCTACTACTTGTATGGAAGAAGTTTGATACAGGGATGAATCTCTAATCCTCCACTTACATATGCTGAGAATACCACCAACCTTGCTTTCTCTAGAAACGACATTCTAGTATTGGTGTATTAATATGTATGATGTCTTAGCAATGTGCATATGAAATATGGCACCCTACCTCAGGTAACTAATGCCATTCTTGCTTGCTTAAATTTGTAAAATTTCCTACTAGCACTTCAAACTGTCTTTCAGGATACGACTCTGCACAAGTGTTACTGAAAGTGAAGTATCTCGAGCCACGAACCTCTTAAAAACAAATATGCTGTTACAGCTTGATGGTAAGGATAAAATTGGGATTTTTATTCTTATTCTACTCGTATGTTGATAACTAGAGTATTTTTTGCCTTCATTAGGGTCCACCCCCATCTGCGAGGACATTGGGAGACAGATGTTGTGTTACAATCGTAGAATTCCAATTCCTGAACTTGAAGCAAGAATTGAGGTAAGTAATGCATGCGTTGTGTATTTTTAAATGAATGTTAATGTAGCAGCTAGCATGCGGTATAGAACAGGGGTGCCAAACCGTGGCTCGTGAACCACATGTGGCTCTTTTACAATTGAAGCGTGGCTGGTGCAGCTCCCCCTATTCTGCCTACTGGGGGAGAATGGGGGGGAGCTCAGGGATTTTTCTCTGCAGCTGGGTGGTGGGGCGTAAATCCTGAGGCCCCCCCTTCCCATGGGGCTGAAGTCTCAAGTCCCAGCAGGTGGTCCAGGCTCTCAAACTTTTGAAGATTATCATATGCTGTTCAAAGGGTCAGTAAGTTTAGCCACCCCTGGAACAGAGGATGAAAGGTTGTCTGAAACTTTGCTAGCCCTCTAGAACAATGGTTCTCCACCTACTTACCATTGTGGGCCACATCCACACAATATATATACCATCTCTGTATAGCCTTGAGTATGTGTCACAGGTCACAGCTGTGTGCTGATGGGCCCATGAGTTGAGAACTGCTGCTCTAGAAAGACATGGCAGCTAACTTACCAGTTGATTAGCTGTAGAGCCATTTTATTATAATCGGCTCTTCGCTCTAATAGACTTTGTCCAAGAAAATATTAACTTACCTTTCTTAAAACACTTTTCAGGCTATTGATGCCCAGAGCATAAGAGAGATTTGCACAAAGTACATTTATGATAAGTGCCCTGCCATCGCTGCTGTGGGTAAGCTTATTCTCCTTCACTGTTTCATCACTATGCCAAACTGCAGCTTAAATGGATGTCTTGACTGACTTTTTTTTAATTTCCAGGTCCAATTGAACAACTTCCAGATTATAACAGAATCCATAGTGGCATGTACTGGCTACGTGATTAAGAACACATGATAAATGTTTTAATGAAACTACTAGATTTCTAAAGCAGTTGTCACAAGGCATATAGACAAACACATTTGATTTCTCTGAACCCCTTGCCCCTCAAGTTCAGTACCAAAAGCCCTACCATGGGAAATGGTGTCCAAAAATTACACAAACGTCACTTATGGGGAAGTCACCTTGACAGTTATTCTCAGTCCTTACCCTTTTGTAGTTGGAGAAACTAATTTCAGAAAGTTAACATTTATTCATGTGATTTGTCTAAAGAATAAAAACATGTACAGTATTTGCATTTTATTATAAAACAGAACAAAGATTGTCACTGAGTCTCATTTCTTTGCTTTAGCAGCATTCAACACTTGTTCTTGGGCAGCTTTCTTTGCTTTAACCATTTCAACAAGTTCCTGCAGAGTAAAAGAAACAAATTTGTATATTTAACCACTTAAATTCAGACAACTAATCATATAGTGACTTAACTCTGCCAACCAAAATAGGATTTTGGATAGCCAAGGGCCTGCCTTTGGAAAATACAAGTATTCAGTTGCATGCATAATTCTTAGAAAGCAGAGGCTGAATATCTAAAGCCAAGATGTGATATGACTAGTCAGTTATGCTCCCTTTCCTAGTAACTATACAGCTTAGACGGCTAACTTCCTCCTTTCACTATTGTGTTAAGGTTAACAAACATGACAAAGCATTAATTTATGAGATAAGATTAAAAAAAATTACCTCATTTGGACCAACTTCTGTTGGTGGAAGGGATGAGCATCAGAGCTCTTCTTTAGAGAAAGGTAACCAGAGTGTTGAAGGGCATGGCTACACTGAAAACTTCAAAGCAGCAGCACAGTCACATGCAAGCACTAGGAGAGAGCTCTCCCAGCACTCCTGGTAATCCACCTCCACAAGGGGATTGGCTCCCAGTGCTTGGATGCTGTTTACACTAGAGCTTTGAAGTGCTCTGACTTACTGCGCTCAGGTGGGTGATTTTTCAGCCCCCTGAGCCAGCAAGTTAGAGCACTATAAAATGTAAGTGTAGCCAAACCTTAAGACCAGGGCTGCACTAAAAAGTTAAGTCAAACCCCTCCTTCCCCTCCCTGGCATCCAGTGCTAGGTCCATGGGAGAGTTCTTCTAACTACTGCCTCGTGGAGAGGCAGATTAATGACAGTGACAGGAGAACCCCTCCTATTGCTGTAGTGAGTGTCTATACTGAAGCACTGCAGCTGTAGTGTTAAGTGTAGACATAGCTTAAGCTGAATACAAGCTGTAGGAGACTGCTTAAAATTAAGTGGGAAATAAAGGTATGTTACAATATGGTGTCATAATGGCTCATAACAATTTGTATCATCATATTGCCTGCTAACCCTTAACTGACCACTTAATTTTAAGCAGTCTCCTTCAGCATGTATGAACCCCTTGTTTCACAGTAACAACGAGGAATCTGGTGGTACCATAAAGACTAACATTTGGACATAAGCAAGCTTATGTCCAAATAAATCTGTCAGTCCTTATGGTGTCACTGGACTCATTGTTTTTTGTGGATACAGACTACCATGGCTACCCCGATACAATTTGGAATAGATTATGAAACAAGTATTTAGCATAGACATACTGGTTACTTTCCCCAGACTTGAATGAAAGCTTGGTGAAGCTCAAAAGCTTATCCCTCCCACAACAGAAGTTGGTCCAGTGAAGGATTACCACCTCACCTACCTTGTGTCTCTCATATCCTGGGACCAACTAATTTTTACCACTTGTTTTTCTTGAAGAAACAGCAGCTCTGACAGTTGTGGAGACTAGGTATTGCAGCAGGCTAACCATATAATCATAGGAGGAAGACACAACAGCATTTCCTACCTTGTAGCGCTTCATGCAGTCTTTTTTTGACCGCCCTGGGACAGCAGCTGCTATTTTTTCCCATCTTTCAGGAGTATTTACTGGATATGTCTTCAAAGCCTGTTCTAAAAGTTTTTGCTCTTCTGTAGTCCAAGGGGCTGAATCTGTGACTAGTCCTGTTTTATAAAAAGCCATTGATAAATGAGAATAGTGATGAAATATTAAATATTTAGCCAAAAGTCCTCTAATTATATAAAACTTTACCCCTGTAGTGGGATGAGCTAGCGAGAATGCTCCTAGGAAACTTGTGCCTTTTAAACCACTTAAGAAGCCTATAACTGCTTCCTTTTGCATTTCAGTAAGGAAGTGATCATCTGCGCCTTGGGGAGGGAAGTGTCCAGTGCAGATCTTGGGGTTCTGTGCAAAGCCAAGTTTATCTGTGGAGAGGGCCCATAGCTTCTCTGCCCCTATAATGGATCTCCTGAACCCCACAGTTCCTGACAGTGTGGCTCTAGTGGCTGGGGTTGCTTCTGGGGAAATGAGAAGGATCTATAGGAGAGACAAGGGAGCCCCCCAAATTGCATTAAATCGGACAGCTGCCTCAAATGGATAAGTGTCCTGGGCCAACATGTTCTTCAGCCATATTCTGCACTCACTGAACTATGGTTCTTATTGCACCTGCAGGCAGCTCCTGCAGACATCCGAAGAGGAATTTGGGCCACTATCTTTTATCAAGCATAACTATAGGCATAGAATTGTTTGTGAAGGGCTGAAAATAGTTCTCTTACAGCCTTACCTTCAAATCGCTCTGATGGTGCAGCACTCTCTGTCTGAGGTACCACTCCATGCTCTTTTTTAAACTTATCAAAAGCTTTCTTGTTTATGTCATCCTTTTGATGAGGGTCTGAGGACAATACAGATTCATTTAGTTGACAAGACCAGAAACCACAATGGGAAGTTTAAAAAGCCCTACATAATGTCTAACACATCATATAGCAAGTTAGCCTAAAGCTAGCATTCAGATATTTTGAAGATGAATGTAATGTTTCATTTCAAAGGTTAGCAATAAAGGTTGTTAGATGAAAACTAGGTGAGATTTATATTGATCCAAAAGCAACAGATCCAAAAGCTTCAATCCCATTCTAATGTTTACACTGTACCATAAAAGCTGTTTTCCAGGTCCCCTGGGGTCTGATCCTGCAGCCCTAATCACATGCTTAGTTCCACTGTAGCCAAGTGGGATTATTCCCAGGAGTGATGACTGCAGGATGAGGCTCTAAATCAGTTAAGCATTAGTGTGGATACCTAGCTCTATCAGCAGGTAATCAGGATATTGTCCCTCGTTTTACGTATTTTTCTTATCCCAGCAAGTAGCTTGGTACAAAGTGACTGAGAAACTCCTTTAAATAATGCACTCTCTCTCTAGTGGAACACTGAGCTGGAAGAAAGGAATGTCTTGGTCTTCTTAGAGATTTTATTTTCAGTAATGATTAATACAGATAGCATCGTGATGGTTCAGTCTTAAACTGAACTGCATCTCAACACAGCATGGTGGTTTAGCCGTTGCACAAGGCCTGTTTGTATTTCGTGGTAAAATCTCTTCACCACAGCAGCACTGATCTAAAAATTCATCTTGACAAGGATGATTTCCACTCAGAATGAGCAAAAACCAGTGGTTGTGCTAATAATGACATTTTACTTCCCCTATCTGCTTTCACTCACTGAAGATAGAAACCGTTTCCATGAACGGACAATGAATGTTTTGTTTTGCATTTAAAGAAAAATAAATTACACAAATAATATAGAAGCACGCAGACCATCTTACAAAGATAATAAAGATACCAAGTTTCTGGAGGCTCTTTGCTTTATTGATGACATCTTTTGCTGTTCGTTTTATTCCAGTAGTAGAATGCAAGTTCATATAATTGGCAATAACTTCCCACCTACACCAAGAATGGAAAACAAACAATGCAAAATAGCATAGGGTAGAATAGCAGTGAGAGATGTTTAATTTCTTAGCTGTTTTATACCCAAATTATAGTGAGGTCTATGCTTGCAATAGCATGGCTCTAATCCTTAGCACTCTCATTTCTTTAAACCAAATATGCTACTTTACATCCACAGTAAGTGGAGTACAGAATGTTTCTATTAAATTGCACTGAGTTTGGGTTGGCCTGTTACTGACTAAGGTCTCTGCCCTGCACTGAGATAAAATGAAAGGATTCTCTAAAGCATACAGGGAGGGACATTGTAGGGGCCCTACAGCAAAATATTGTTTCAGGTGCTCTGAAATCTCACAAGGAATGCCACAAGTTGCAATTTTTTATTTTATTTTTTTTAATTGTCTTTTACATTTAAAACATGAAAAAGTACCTTGAGTTAGTCCCAGCGGGGAAGAGGTTCACAGCTTTAATCAATAACTGTAAGTCATCTTCTGACCAGTTTTTACTTCCACCTCCACCACCACTTGTTGACCTCTCTGAACTCTTCATCGCTTGGCGCAAACGAGCCTCTGCTTCTTCTCTTTCTCGCTTGATCTGTTCATTTATTTCTTCTATCTAGGTGAATAAAAATGTGCATCAATTAATTTTAACATTTTCTTCCACAAATCCAAAACTGAAGTCCCTTCTACATTTTCCGCTACTGGAATTGCTTCAGGGGTTCAACTTTCACTGGTTTTCTTATTCTGTACATCACACTTGGGGAAAGAGAGTCTACCTGTTCTACCATTACTTCCCCAGCAGATGACAGAGATATAGCTATATGCAGACATACTCATGGACACGCCAAAAAACTGATCCATAACGAGTGCAAACTCATTATGAAATTAAACTAGACACTTTTCCAATATTTGAGCAACAATATTGTAGGGGAAATCTAGACTGATTGCTGACTCTTGGTCATTAGCACAGAGCCTAGATTTTGTTTTCATACTGAAGATAAGCAAAGACCAGGCCATTTTCCCCAGAGTAATTCACTATTGCTGAGGAATATGAACTTCCTTATCTAAAATTTTATGGGATATTACACCAGTTACTGACTGTCATGATTAGGTACTGTACTAATCTAAAATGCATAAACTCTTACTCTGCTGGCACCAGCTCATTAGACTAACCCAGAACTATGCTATTTATTGTGGAAGCAGCAGCAAAGTCTCTTTTCTTTGTGTTATGAAACACAGGTCTTGGTGGCCATTCTTACCATGTAAAGAACTCAATCAAAGATGCATATCTTAAGTTAATATCCAACTTGTTTAGATGCTGTCAGACAGGTAAGCTTAGTTAATCTAAATATTTTCATTACATTGATTTGACACCATGTAGATTTACCTGTTTTTCTACAGCAGCCTTTCCTCCTTCCCTTGTCGTGGATGTAAGTGCTTCATTCAAGCATTGCAGGCTAAAAATAAATTGTTAAGTTATATTGGAGATCTAGTAGAGAGATGGATATCAAAATGTAGAGCAAAGAGGGTCAGGAAAATGTACCTTGCTAGTTCAAGACGATCACAAAGCTTTTCCACCTCTTCCATCATTTTTACACACTCTGCCTCATTATCAGAAAAGTAATTCCAGTTCTGAAAGCAGAAATACAGGTTTTCCATTGAAGGTATAGGACAATGAAATTCAAAGAGCATCTCAAAACACACACATTCCTCTGTTATTACTATAACTGTAGCTGAATAGCCTTAAAATAAATTGGATGTTTTTCATGTAACTGAAATTGGAGTATGGGTGTGTACTTTTATATTTTGCTTTTTAGTTGATAGTCTTCATAAAGCTACATTGGTTTGCCTTTACAGACCAAAGCATCTCTTCATGTTGTGAATCTGTATTAAAAAAAATCTATAATGACATTTATTCTGATACATGGAGAAAATACACTTTTACTTAATGGACACAATTTCCACCCTCCACCTTGATTTATAAGGATAAACATACATGAGTGATTTGGCATGAAAGGAAAAGTTCTGGTCTAACCGGGTGTGACAATTTCCTTAATACAGTCTATATTCAGCTACAGTGACATCTATACCTTGCATGTTGTTCTCAATTTTTGCCTTTCCTTCTTAATTGCTTTTTTCTGTATATCTTTTTCTTTTTTTGCCAGCAATGCTTGTTGTCTAACTTCTTCCTCTTCCTTCTCTTTAGCTAACCGTGCTGCTTCTAATTCTGCTTGTCTTTGCTGCAATCAAAGGGGAAAAAATTAGTAGGTCTTCTGGTGTAAGATGCACAAGATGTGCTACTTTAACAAGGTGAATAAAACTATCAATACTTAAATGCTTGGAAGATTGACCATTGAAGAAATAAACAAAAGGTGAATGCGCAAGCACAAACACACACACTGCCTGGCATTAATTAACAAATACCTCACTAGCACTGAAGATACCCAGTTTCTGAGGGCTGGTCTACACTACACAGTTAAGTCAACTTTAATAAGGTAGCTTATGTTGACCTAATTATGTCAGCATCTACACCATAGCCTTCCACCCACCGATGAAAGTGCCCTACTACACTGCCATAACAACTCCATCTCCACGAGAGGCATAAGACTTAGGTTGGTGTAGTTAGGGCGATCCATTATCTGTGTAGAAATAGTGTCCCTCACATCCACTGTTGGCTGTCTTGTCAATTTCACATCTCCTGTCATGAAATTCACAAGACAGCCAGGCAGCTAGAACCCAGCGGCCCCCATTCCTCTGGAGAGCTGGACAGCTTGAGAAGCCCTGGCAGCTCCTCCCCTCACTCGGAGCCAGGGCTTCTGGATGAGCAGTAAAAATAACAAGGCTGCCTGGCTCCCGCAGTAGGAGGGGGAGAGCCAACGCAACTGGACCCCGCTCCCTGGGGGTGAGAAGCCTCAGGTGCCTTCCCCAACTCCTGGCAGGGAATGGGGAGTAAAGGGGGGGGAAGCCCATTGTGAGCCTGTGGGGCAACCAGGCTCCCGGCAGGGAGCTGTCAGCAGAGCTGAGAAACTGGACTCTCAGCTCCCCACACTGCCCTTCTCAGGTTGGTGGAAGCGCTCCTGGTGAGCATCTGCCCCACTGACCCAAGGAGGGTAGTGTGGACACGAACAACTGCAGATTTACATTTTAGAAGAAATCTTATTCCTGTTCCAGGACCAGTCCTTAGAAAAATCTAATGGTTCTTTAAGCATTTGTACTGCTCTTCTGAGGTGCTATTGCTGGCGGACTGCAAAATAGGATTTTTAATATCATACCATTTGGATTAGCATCTTTTACTTCCCAACCTCTTCAATCACACTAAGATTTTAGCAGCAGCTATCTCACAGATTGCTAGCATTAGCAAGTGCATGCTGCTGCTCATCTTCAAAGGGATTTACACATCATGACCAATCAGTCCATAGAGCACTCCCATAAAGTAAGCAATTATTTCAATTTACAGAGGGGCAACTAAGCCACAAATGTTAACGGGACTTTCTTGAGGCAATAAAGAAAGTCTGCACTGAACAGGGATTTGATTTTAGAAGTTCCTGGCTGCCAGGGCTGTGTTCTGCCCACATCTTACTCTCAGTCTTAAAAGGGTCACTGGTCATTCAATATAGCAGTGCCTTTTTGGCACTAGAACAAGACGGAAAATAGCAAGTCTCAGGCCTCGGTGTAATTTTCAGTGTGTGGCCTCTATCAGATCTGGAAGCTGAAGCAGGCGATCAGATACATTTAAGTCTCGGAGTTTCTCAACCCATATAAATAATTTACAAACTTACTCTTTCTTTGGCTTCCTGTTCTTTTCGTTTTGCTTCTACCTTTGCTTTCTTTTCTGCTTCTTTCTTTGCCTTTTCTTCTTCCTTGAATTTCTTTATTCTAGGATCACAGCTGTATGCAGCGTCTAGCAGAGGAAACAAAGCATTGTGTCCATGAAAGGGGACACTAAACGTTTTCACTGCTAGTTATCAAACGCCTCTTCTTAAAAAGGCAGAATTTATACTTACCAACTAATGTCCTTATCCTGTTCATCTCTTCTTTTTTCCTCAGTGCTCTGGCTGCTCTGTTCTGTTTTTCTATCCACCTCCTCTCATCTCGACTACAAATTGGAAGGCATGGTGTTAGTTCAGCTCTGCCAATCACCAGCATTGTTAATGGTCTGTCAGGAATTCCATTACAAGAACCAATTTGCAGACGTTTCACATTTCAACTGTAGTAAAAGCAGACTTAAAAGCGTAAGCTGTTGGCCCACAAAGCTCAAGTGCAAACCCCAAACCCTTGCACAACAGCTCAACCACACTAACATAAAACTGTCTAACATAAAAGACAGTTCAGCAATCATAGGCTCATAGAAGTGAAGGACTGGAAAGGACCTCAATAGGTCACCTAGTCCAGGCCCCTGCATTCAAGGAAGGACTAACTAGACCATTCCTGACAGGTGTTTGTCTAACCTGTTCTTACAAACCTCCACCGATGGAGATTCTACAGTCTCCCTAGGCAATTTATTCTAGTGCTTAACCATCCTGACAGTTAGGAAGTTTTTCCTAATGTCCAACCTAAACCTCCCTTGCTGCAATTTATGCCCATTGCTTCTTGTCCTATCCTCAGGGGTTAAGGAGAACCATTTTTCACCTCCTTGTAACAGCCTTATATGTACTTGAAAACTATTATGTTCCCCCTCAGTCTTCTCTTCTCCAGACTAAACAAAAACAGTTTTTTCACTCATTCCTCACAGGCCATGTTTTCTAGACCTTTAATCATCATCATCATTTTGGCTCTCTTCTGGACTTTCTCCAATTTGTCCATATCTTTCCTGAAATGTGGCACCTAGAACTGGATACATCTTATCAGATGGAGTACTTCTCATGTATTGCTTACAACACTCCTGCTTATATGTCCCAGAATGATGTTTTGGTTTTTTGAAACAATGTTACACTGCTGACTCATATTTAACTTGTGAATCCACTATACCTCCAGATCCTTTCCACAGTACTCCTTCCTAGGCAGTCATTTACCATTTTGTATATGGGCAATTGTTTGTTCCTTCCTAAACTTTGCATTTGTCCTTTATTGCATTTCACCCTATTTATTTCAGACCATTTCTGCAGTCCAGATGATTTTAAATTGTAATCCTATCTTCCAGAGCACTTGCAACCCCTCCCAGCCTGGTATCATCCACAAACTATATACATGTACTCTCTATGCCATTATCTAAATTTTTTATGAAGCTATTGAACAGAACCAGGACCAGGACTGATCCCTGAGGGACCCCACTCAATATCCTCTTTCAACTTGACTGTGAACCACTGATAACTACTGTATAGGAACAGTTTTCCCAACCAGATATACACCTATATTATAGTTAGGGCTCCGTATCTGTCACAGAGGTCGTGGAAGTAACAGATTTCGTGACTTTCTGCAACCTCTGTGACATCTGCAGTGGCTGGTGTGGCCGACCCCAGGGCCAGCTGCTCAGACTGCCCCAGGAACAGCCGCACCGGCCGCTGCTGGACTGTCTCCGCATCCAGCCGCTCGGGCAGCCCCACAGCTAGCTGCACCAGCCTTTGCTCAGGTGGCCCCAGGTAGCTGGCCCGGGGACTGCCTGAGCAATGGCTGGTGTGGCTGGCCCTGGGGACCACCTGAGCATGTTGCCACTTCCAGGGAGCCGCCTTTGAGCCTTCACCCTCTGTTGATACTCACACCTTCTTGTCAACTATTGTGAATGGGCCACATCCACCATGACTGAATTGGCCTTGTTAGCACTACAAAAAGTAATCTCCCCTCTGTTGATATTCACCCCTTCTTGTCAATTGTTGGAAATGGGCCACATCTACCCTAACTGAATTGGCCTCGTTAGCACTGACCCCCCACTCGGTAAAGCAACTCCCATCTTTTCATGTGCTGTGTATTTATACCTGCCTACTGTATTTTCCACTCCATGCATCTGATGAGGTGGGTTATAGCCCATGAAAGCTTATGCCCAAATAAATTTGTTAGTGACTAAGGTGCCACAAAGACTCCTCGTTTCTTTTTTTTGTTTTTTTTTGCTGATACAGACTAACACAGTTACCCCTCTGAAACCTATTTCATTCTTTGACAAGTTTACAAGTTTGGTTGATAAAGGTGACTGTGTAAATATAATAGAGACAAGGTGGGTAAGGTAATATACTTAGACTTTTGTAAGGCAATTGACTTAGTACAGTACAATGTTCTGACTAAAAATATAGCACTATACAATATTAAAGCACACTTTAAATGGATTAAGAACTAAATAACTCAGTGATCTCAAAAATTAGTAATCAATGAAGAATCATCATCAAATGGGGGTGCTTCTAGTGGGGTTTCGCAGGGATCGGTCATAGGCTAGACACTATTCAACATTTTCATCAATGCTCAGGAAGCAAATATAAAATCAGTGCTGATAAAATTTATGAATGACACAAAGATTGGTGGAATGGTTATTAAGGATTAGGGTAGGGCAGTCATACAGAATGATGTGAGTGCCTTCACATCAAGACTGGATGCCTTTCTGGAAGATATGCTTTAGCCAAACACAAATTACTGGGCTCAATACAAGAGTAAGTCGGTAAAATTTAATGGCCTGCGATATATAGGAGATCAGACTATATGATCTAAGAGTCCCTTCTAGCCTTAAACTCTGTGAATCTATGAATTACAACTACAGGAAGGTTAAAGAAGGTAGAATGTAATTAACAATTGGCACTTGGTCAGGACAATTCAGTAATATCACTACTCCTGTGAATGTCATGGGATCTTTAAAAAAAAGGAGTACTTGTAGCACCTTAGAGACTAACCAATTTATTTTATAAATTTTATAATAAATTGGTTAGTCTCTAAGATGCCAGAAGTCCTCTTTTTCTTTTTTGCGAATACAGACTAACACGGCTGCTACTCTGAAACATGGGATCTTTAGTGGCATCAAGATGCCAACAGCTTGCTGTCTAAATACAAACAGTATTACTTCCATCCTCAGAGCAGAGTATTAAATCAGTGCTGATTCAGAGAGGAGAGTGATACCTACTGAATCATCACTACCACCCTTGCCCAGTTCTGCTTTTGAGCTCTGTTGAGATCAGAGCTTGAAGTTACACAAATGTACAAGAAATAAACATTTGACACCAGAAGATCTCAGAGCACTTCATAAACACACCTATGACGTAGGCAAGAATTATTCCCATTTTACCAATGAGGAAACAGAGACACAGAGTGTGACTTGTCCAAGATCACACAGCAAGCCTGTGGCAGAGCCTGGAATAAAACTCAGAACTCCTCACTTCCAGTCCCACACTCTAATAACTAGACTCTCCTTCCTTCCTTCCCCTGATTTACAGCCTAACTACAAGGTGAAAAGTCTTGCTGTAATAATCAGTTAGTCCCTTATCAAAGACTTTTTACTTACATACCATTCTGCTTTTTCTTTTTCTTCTTCATCTAAATAAGAAAACTCTCTCCAAGAATCAAAATTATACCTATAGTAAATGCAAAATTAAAACAATGCAGGTGAGAGACACAATTTCTGATAAAATAAAAAGATAAAGCCATTTTTAAAATGTCTGCATTTTTAATGCTAGGTTTTAGTATAGTTAGACCAACATTGTTGCCTTCTGTCAACTTGCCAAATTCAAGAAAAGCTATTTGTAAATATTATAGAAATAAAAGCTGTCAGTCCAGTTGCGAAGCATTGTTTTTAAATTTGTTTAAATGTATTTTAGCTCTGTTTACTTAGATGCCAGAGACCCTCTGAGTTAACTAGCGTCTGTGGTTTTCTTAAGTCTTCTTCCATTTATAGAAACTGCCTATCCACCCAGTCTTATGTCAATGTTTTAGTCTTTGTTTTATGAAGAAAACACTAGTTGTAGCAGAGTATTTGTTCTTAGTAATATCTCTCTATTGTGCCTTTCAATCAAAGATCTCAAAGCAATTGGTAAGCAAACAATTATCATTATCCCTGTTTTACAGAGGGGAAGTTCAAGGCCACACAGGGAATCTTGGCAAAGCCAGAAATAGAAGCCAGGTCTCCTTACACTGCGGTCTTTGCTTTAGCAACGAGACATCCCTTCCCCTGCTGAAGTGTCATACACAAACTGACAAAGAGTAAAGATGAAAGCAACCTAGAAATGAAGTACTAGATTTATTTCACCTAGAACAGAGGACAGAAGAAGAAATCATTGGATGTTCACATCAGGGGAACAGGTTAGGGGAAAGACACAGAGTTGACTGTGTATAAACTGACTGGTACTGCAATTTGTTACTTTTTTTTCAAGTGCCAGTCAACTTTAGCTCAAACTAGATTACAGGGTGTATGTTGCAAATTGCTGTTAATTAATCCTTTCTACAAATCTGACTCAGCATTACTTCTTGAAATTGTTATTACAGAGCCAGTGTGTGTAAGCGGGGTGGCTCTCCCTCGAAGAGCACAGGGTGGAGTTGCCTGTAGGAATTTCCAGACTGGATTTTCTAGGGGTGGGAAGGTAGCCTCGTCTCCACATTCATTCAAACCCTGGCCATTCTGGTCAGATTGCCAACAAGGGTGCCAACTGTGTGGTGGTTTTATGTGGAAGACATATTAACTATGAACTAGAGTGAAACCAATTCATTTCATATAAGGCATCAAAGAGCCACTGGGTCACTTTAGACCACTACCAGCCCAGACGAGACTTCAACCAAGGATGAACATCCACTATACCACATTTTTAAAGTGACAGTACCTTATCTATAAACCGAAGCGTTAACTTACTTACCAGAATGAATAAAATGCATCCACATCTTCAAATGAAGAGTTCATGTCCCCCAGTTTAGGAACATTTTTCTTATTTGACCATCTGTAACAATGAACTGAACCTTGTTTAAAATGAAAGTTGTAAAGGCCGTAAAACTGAGTCATATAGAATACAAGTGAATTAAACTGAGTCTAGGTTCCTATTTGCTAGTTAACTATTACATGGGTTTTTTTGGAATACACATAGAGACAGTGTCACAATGCAACAGCAACCTTGCAGAGAGAAGCAACTGATTAATAAGCCAACAAAGGAAATCACCAGCTATGCTTAAATTCTGGGCGAAAGGGAAGCGTGTCACTCTGCTGAGAGAATGAGGAGGTGCGACACCAGCTACAACAGTGCCATGCAAACGCCTATTCTCACTTTTAGGTGACACTGTATTAAGAAGCAAACAGCATTATCTCCTGTAAATGTAAACAAAGTTGTTTCTCTTAGCGATTGACTGAACAAGAAGGAGGACTGAATGGTCTTGTAGGCTCTGAAGTTTTACATTGTTTTGTTTTTGAGTGCAGTTATGTAACAGAAAACCCTACATTTGTAAGTTGCACTTTCATGATAAAGAGATTGCACTACAGTACTTGTATGAGGTGAATTGAAAAATACTATTTCATTTATCAATTTTACAATGCAAATATTTGTTATAAAAAATAAAGTGAGCACTGCATACTTTGTATTCTGTGCTGTAACTGAAATCGATATATTTGAAAATGTAGAAAAACATCCAAAAATATTTAATAAATTTCACTTGGTATTCTATTGCTTAACAATGCAATTAATCAAAATTAATTTTTTTAATTAATTGTGGGAGTTAACTGCGATTGATCAACAGCCCTAATTGCAATCTCATGCAATATATTTGGGGAACACAGTGTATTAAATTTATGTATCACTATGGGCCAGGGATTATACACAATTTCAGGAGGGAGGCTTACCACAACTCCTCCAGGAACCAAAAACAGTGGGGGCTGATTAAGGCAAATCACTCAGGTTGTAAACACTTCAAGATAGATACAACCCCCTGGTAGAATTGCATATACTGGTTCAAATTGAGTTTTCCAGAGACCAACAAACAAAGAAAGGACTTTTGATAGAAAAAGGCTGTGTTTACACTGACTCAGGGCCTTCTTTCTGATCCAAACAGACAATACCTTATACCCAAAAGAGGCCCCAACCTTTGTGGAAGTGTTGGAAAGACTTTGGCCTATGAGGGCCCCATAAGACCGATGGGTGAACCTTGCTTTGTTTAGTCTGTATTTAAATCTGTTTATTATTTTTATATACTTTCTCTGTAATGCTTTTACCATAACAATAAATGTGCTTACTTAGAAAGAGCTCTATGGTATCTTGTCACTGCTGGCAATACACTGTTCATAGCCCTCAGAAAGAAGAGAAAAGAAAAGCACAGGTGCTGGCTTTCAAGCAGACTGGTTTGCTGGGGATATCAGTGTAAGGCAGGGAACTGTTCAGCCTTAAAACCCTGGTCAAGAGGGAGAGAGACGGGGGTCTCCACCCGAGAAGTGACGGCTGGGAGATGGAAACCTTAAGTTGGTTCCCTTGAGGAAACCACGGAGGAGGAATACAGGAGCCGTTATCCTGAGACATAATTATAATAAACTCTTGCTAAATCGTTATGCTTCCTAGCCGCACTTAAAATCTTGGGGAAAGAACCCACTAGTTACAAACATAATGCCATATGGAACTGCAAATGGCCGGATTCCCATGCAATGGTGATGGAAGCCTGAATGACTGTGACATAGCTCACCTGGCATTCCTTTCAAAAACTGGTGAAAACACTTCAAAGAAATTTTCCTTTGCTTCACTTTTAGAAGGTACAGAGTTATCAAAAGTAGGATCTATGCTGTTAAATGCTCGTCTCTTCACAGGATCAGACAAAATTTCATAAGCTGGAGAAAAAAGGTTAAAGGCCATAAAACACCAGGTTGGAGATGAAGGTACATACAGGAGCTTCTTGGAGGAAATGTTATAGATAAAATTCTGAACATTTAACAACAAAAAAATCACCATACTTTAGACCTCTGTGCTTCTAACATTTTTGTTGTTGTGATTGCAAGAACTTTGCTGTCAGCTCCTGCAAATGGTGAGTAACAAAACACTGAAGAGGAGGAAAAAGCTTATAAAAAACAGCCAACAAATTGAACCCTTAAAGTACAGCTATAAATGGCAAAACTAATTATATGTTAAACGAACTGTGCAATGATAAACTCAGTCCAGTGCACTGGGAGTTCAGGTGAACCTCCGTTAGGCCTCAATTCTGCAACCACATCCATGTAGACAGGCCCTTGTGCCTGTGTGGTGCCCCATGGACTTCCCTAGGAATTGCCTGTGCGATTCTGATTACAGGATCAGAGGCAATAACAAGAGCTATTGACCGGAGTACTTATGTCTTCTGCTGCAAGTGTGTCACTGAGACTTCAAAATGGAGCATTAAGCAGCATTCTAACATGGCCATTAAAATCTAGGGGGTCATTCATTCTGCAGCTTATGTAGACAGGGGCTTGGAGCATCCCTCCATTCTACCCCACAGCCTTCCTACATGCCACCCTCTCATCCCCCCCCATTTTAGGGACTACCCGCAACTGCCCCACCACTTCCTTATGCCTGGGGCCATGTGTCCCCCTTTTGTTCCCCCCCAACCATTTCCCTCATCCCTGCAGCCTACATTGTATTCCCTCCTGTCAGAGTCTGTGTGCCCCCCCTCCTCTGTCCACTCTTCTCCCAGGTTCCACACCCATCAGCCCAGCTCCACGTCCCTGCTTCCCTCATCACCATCTACCCCCACTCCTATTCCCTTTGGCTCCCTGCTTTGTCACCCCACCACCACCACCACTCACCCCCAGGTCCCTTCTTCATTTCCCCCTTCCCCACAGGTCCCCACTTCTCCCACAGACACTGCCCTATCCCTGTGGCCTCTGCTCCCCGCCCCACCCTTTGGTCCTGCTTCTGCTCTACAAACCCTCCCTCTTAGGCTTTGTTATTTCTACTAGACTGCAAGATATGGACAATCTCCCCATACAGCAGCACCACGCTGTCTGGGACTGTAGTTTCCCCCTGAATCAGGCTTTTCCAGTATTCCATTTTGCACCAAAATCAGTAGAGTCATATTGCTGGATGGGAAACAATGTTCCTATCTCACAAAAAATTCTGAGATGTCAGAAATTTTTCCCCATCTCAAACTGGGATGAGAAATCAAAACTTCAATAAATTTTCACAATCAAAAAAAAAAAAAATCACTTGAGGTCAATCAAAACATTTTGTTAGGTAATTCTTAAAGTTTCATTTGAATTTTGACATTTAACAGAAGTTTGTCCTGTAATTAACTTAAATTTCAAAATGAAAGTTATTTTGAACCAGAAAAACAAGATTTTTTGTTTTCAAAATGGGATGTTCATGACATTTCAAAACTTTTTTCAAAATTTTCAAGTACAGAAATTTGTCAGGACTGATTCTTTCCCGTGAAGAGTTTCAGATTTAGTGAATTGGCATTTTTTGACTAAAAACATTTTGCTGAAAAACTCCTGACCAGCTTGACAAGGTTATGCCTATTAATGCCTAGACTATTCCCTGGAAGTTTTGAATTGATCAGATGCCGTATTCCAAAGTTATCTATCATGTTATAGACACAGAAATACTATTGAATTGAGTACAAGACCTTGCTTTGCTTGACAACTATGGGTAATAGATAACAGTGTCTGCTGACTTGAGCTAGGGTATCGGCTTCTTTAGCTCAGCTGGCACAGCAGATGCACGAGAAGTCAGGTCCTAGTACCGCTAGTGACTTCTCCCCTTTAAATTGGTCTATTACCTTGCATAGTAGTATGCCAGTTTATTTTAGGAGATACATGGCTACTTTTATTGGTTCATGTTAGTATATACTGCTATAAGAATCTACTTTAACTGCCCTTTCCTATCACTTCGCGTGAAATGGGAAACTGATGCTCTGTAGGTCAGCTGTGAAATAAGAGGAGCTATTCTAGAATTGTTTCCAACAGAAGGAAAGCTATTTTAATTTGATTCTACTTCTTGAAACAACTTGATAAAATGGTAAACTACATTTTTTCTGGTTTTACAGCTAACGATCAAACTGTGCAAAGAGGAAGAACTACAGTTAAAGCACTGTAAAAATACTTCACATCAGATTAAACGAGCACTGTTACATTTTCCTCCAACTCTCTTACCTTTAGTTATACAGGTAAAATAGTCATTGTCACCTTCACCTATCTGCTCCCCTGCAGCTTTTCGCTTGTCTGGATGATGTTTCAAAACCATGGCTTTATCTAGCAACAAATAAGTTGAGTTCAGACACGTTACACCACCTACGTTTCACTTTGTAATTAGGAAAATAAACAAAACAGCACCGTAGTCATGATTTGCATTTCTTTATTCAGATTTTTTTTTTTAAGTATCAGAAAGGAAACCAAAATGAGAAAATAGACCCTCCTGAATATAATAATATCACTGAAAATTAGAATTTAGTGTTAGTTAAAAAATGTTTAGTATCCATCCTATGCCAGGACACAAAATAATCATAACTACAGACTATCTTTACCTCTCTCTTTCCAATCAATTGGAACCAGCACCACTTTCTCTGGGACTTCTAACATTCCAAACCCCTGGCATCTTCCAAATGATTGCAGCCCTAAACCTGCAATGAGTTCTGCAGGGGCACAGGGGTCTGCATGGAGTAACTTGCAGGACTGGGCTCTTACTGACTACAGAGGAAAAACTATAAAACAAACTTTGTACAAAGTGCTGTCAAATGCAAAAAAATCAAAAACTGCTAAAATAAATACAAAAATTCTTTAATTTACAATATTAGGTTTTACTTGTAACTAGAGTAGGTAAAAATAATTTAGACAGAATGTGACTTTTAAACCAACGGTGCCCCTTAATAGGAGTCTCATTGCAGAACTTTACAGATTCAGTTTTTAAGGAAAATAACTAAGGCCACGATCCTGAAAAGACTTAGGTATATGCTTAATTTTATTCACAGTGCATGAAGTTGAGCATGTGTGCCAGCCTTTTCAGGATCAAGGCCTAAACTGAGAGAGCACTAAATTCTAAGTTGTGTCTTTCACATATGAAATATTTACTGAAGTTGAAGACCAAAGGACTGTAGTGGAGACTTCCAGGAGGAAACCGTATTTAGTTACTTTAACAGCTCTGCTACAAGCTCTAGCTGCAGCCTCCCTTCAGTGGTAGAACTCTGCAGCATTCAAAGTTGTACTGGAACCAGCCCAGGAAATGCATTTTACCCCATTTATCAGATATATGAAGCAGTACTGGAGTGATTACATAAATCTACGGCTTGTGAAAGGAACCAGATTAAAGCCTCTAATTCACAGAACAGGAACAGTGCATGACTCAAGAGTGAAAGCTCTCTCATTTTCAATCCAATATGCCCTAACTCTGTTTTGATAGGACCACCTCTGAGGAGAGGGTATTGCAGGCTCCTTAGACTATTTAGTCCTTGGCCTTTCTGTCAAAACAGCTAATGGTAATTAGCGTTAATTGGGATGGTGGTTCATGTAATGTGAACATAACCACTGCGAACATAACTAACATTTACACTCATGAGTAGGGCTGGCTCTAGGCACCAGCGAATCAAGCAGGTGCTTGGGGCGGCACATTTCTAGGGGCAGCATTCCGGCGCCGGCCATGCCGCCCCTAGAAATGTGCCCCTGCTGCCCCAGCTTGCCTCCGCTCCACCTGCTCCCCTCAGTGCACCGCCGCCACTCGGCTTCTCCTCCCTCCCTCCCAGGCTTGCCACATGCGAAACAGCTCTTTCGCGCAGCAAGCCTGGCAGGGAGGGAGGAAGGAGAAGTCGAGTGGCGGCGCACTCAGGGAAGGCGGCGGTGGTGAGCTGGGACGGGGAGCGGTTCCTCTACCCGCCCCCGTTACTTCTTCTTGCGCTCCCCCCCACCCTCGCTCACCTCCACTCCGCCTGCTCCCCTGAGAGGGATGGTGGAGAAGTGGAGTGGTGGCGTGTTCAGGGGAGCAGGCAGAGCGAAGGTGAGCTAGGACGGCGGGTTGTGGGGGAGAGCCACAGGAAGCAACTGGGGGGGAAAATGCGGCACGCCCGGGGGAGGAGGCGGGGATTTGGGGAAGGGGTTGGGAAGGAGCGGAGCCGGGGGCACGGGGGGGAGGGGGGGCACAAAAAAAACCGGGGGCAGCCAAAAATTTTTTGCTTGGGGCAGCAAAAATCCTAGAGTTGGCCCTGCTCAGGAGTAAATTGTCTTAACCCACATGAGACAATGAGTTTATTCACATGCATAAGTGTTTGCAGGATCTACCCCTAAATCCATCAATTTATTTCACAAAGGTCATTAACTAGTTATCATAACAGTTTTAAATACTGTTCAGCTAAATATTTTACTATTTGTCCTGCAAAGTTCTCTCTTTACTATATTACTTTAAAGCACTAATTACAATTTTAGAGTATGACAGATACCGCTTTTTAAATTGCTAAATGTATAAATGCCATAAAACATCCCAGAACATGGACTTGTACAGATTAATCACACTTCATGCCTTATGATATGCTTGTGTCATGTCACTAAGCAGCGTAACTGCTTGTCTTATTGCTTAATTAACTGTAATATTAAGAAGATTGTAACATCAGTTTAGCATATGAGAATTTAAAGGTTGTTAACTACATTGCTCTATCCCTGAGACCCAGACCTCAGGAACCAAACACTTTTTGAGCTGACAACACAGTAAACACCCCTTTTATGTTCAAATCAGGGAAAAGCAAACTTCTCAATAATCTAAATTATCACAAAATCAAATAATATGTAACAGAACTTTTGATTACATGCTACTTCAGTAGTTACAGCCTTATTCCTATGTGACGTTAATTTAAACGACTGGAATAATAAGAGCAGTAACTAGATTTTTCTGATAACATTCAGTAATTAAACAAACAGTTAACCAGTGTTACAATGTAGGTACTCATAAATAGGCTTCAAAGGTAAGATCCTCCCCCCCATTCAGCTGAAGTGGACCAGATCTTGTTTCTCTAAGTGCTATTCTCTCAGCTAGGCTGATTATGTCTTTTTGAGTCTGCAGAGTGAGTTGGATTATATTGTCAAGGTTGTCTCTGAAAAGCAAGGCTAGATCAGAAAGCTGAGAGTCTGAAGATTTCTGTCTGAGGTGTTTGGAATTCACTAAACTTTCAGACCTGCAGGTTTTAGATGTCTGAGATGAATGAAAAAGTCGGTAAGTGAAACAAATTCAGCTTTATAGTGAGCACTCTGAAGTGAAATGAATATACTCTTGGTCCTTAAAGTGTACATATTTGTATTTACAATATGGAATTGTATACACAAGATAAAAAACTCTGTTCTAACATGACCAATAAGAAATGCAATTACTTACGGGCTGCTTTGATTTGTTTCTGAGCGGCCCTGTATCTTACGTGTCCTAGTCCAAGAACTGCATAGTGATCCTGATTCTGATAAAGAAATATAAACATTAATAACCATAGCTACCTGTAATCTAGTAGAATTCTCTTATGGATTTTAAAAGCAAGACCACATATGCAGACCAATATAATTATTTGAAAGGTTTCTTTCCATAGCTTCTTTCGTGAGGAGCAGAGAGAGGCAGCAATCTCCTCTCTGTGTGTAAAGATTAGAAAAAGGCAATTTGAACAATTCTCCCACAGACTATAGCAATTTCTAACTACAAATTGAGTAGTTACAAAATAAGCCATTGTTATAAAAATGCATCCAGCTTAACACAAATTCATATAGCTATAGGATTTTACAAAACACAGATGAGTGCGTACTTCAATTTGTCAAGAAATGTTATGTTGAAAAGGTGCCTGGATTCCCCAGAAGAAGAAAAACGACATTTTCTTACTGAGTGCCACTTGATTTTAGTGGGTTTAGGACTGGATCTCAAGCCAATCAGTTCACTAATTGCACACCCAGTTAAGCAGGAAATAGAGCGTCAAGGCTAAGAGCTCCTTCTGATGTGCATTTATTAGGGTGTGTCTACATTAGAAATGCTACAGCAGCACAGTTGCGTCATGGTAGTATAGTGACTACAGCAACAGAAGAGGTTCTTCTGTCACTGAAGTATAGCCACCTTTCTGAGAAGTGCTTGCTAGGTTGATGGAAGAAGTCTTCATTTGACTTAGGAGTGTCTACACTGGGACTTAGGTCAGTATATTTACATTGCACAGGGCTTGAAAGTTTTTACAGCCGTGAGCGATCTAGTTAAGCCAACCTAATAATGTAGTATGAACCAGGCCTCAGTCTATTTAATAGGTAAGTTACTGACACTTTGTAAAACTGTCCTCATTTAGGTTATGTTTACACTTAAACTGTTGCATTTGCATTGCTGTAGTACGTCAGTGTAGTCACTACCTACACCGACAGGAGGGGTTCTCCTGTCAGTGCAGGTAATCCACCTCCCTGAGAGGTGGCAAGTAGGTCAACGGAATAATTCTTCTGTCAACCCAGCACTGTCTAAACTAGTGGTTAGGTCAGCATAGTTACATCTCTTAGTGGTTTGGATTATTCACGCCCCTGGGAGACATAGCTATGCTGATGTAAGTTCCCAGTCCTTAGTCACCTGACTACCTGTGGAATACAAAAAGGAAGCTATAAGGCTAAAGAACTTGGAAAATCCAGATGAGAAAAGGAAAAGGAACAAGTATTTAGATAAATTTGTGGTGATGCTTCTAGCAAAAGAACTAACTCAATGTTCCCGTTAGTTGTATACCTTCCAGTCCTTTGGATCAAGTGTTTTTAACATAGGAAATTCCTCAAGCTGCAATTCTTCATCCCCTGACTCTTCAGAGAGCTCTTTCTCATCCTCCAGTTCCTGGAAAGAGGCAGAAACATTTATGTTTCGCCTCTTAATAAATGCTTCAAACCATCTTCCCACAGGTTCAACTTGACAGAGCACAGAAGCTGTAAACAAAAGTGTAAGAGAAACTTAGCTTCATTCTGGTTTAGAATTTTCTTTCCATCCTGAATCCAGAATTATTTCACCAAATGTCTAATCAGGTACCACAGCCAGGAGACATTTTAATTCACATTTAATAAAACTTGTATCAAAGGTTGTATCAACTTGCAAAATAGTCCACTACTTTGTTTATGCCAAGTACGTTATTGTATTTTCAAATGTTGAAATGTCATCAAATTAAAAGGACATGTCTATTTTTAAACAACATTCTTTCCTTTTTCATGAAGGGGGGGGTTTGCTAGTAGTAAAATACTGAAGTTTAGATTAACTCTTATCATTTATGTTGTTAACTCTTTACACATAACTCCCTTGTGACAATGAAATCAGATTGGTTAATTTCACACTCTGGCCCTCACTGTCATAATAATGCAATATTTGCATTAAAACCACTAAAGGGTAATGTTCAAATACAACAAAACCAAATAAAATAGGGCACTTCATGAGCTAAATACTTTTCTATTTATATAACATAGCTTTTCAAAATCTTCATTTTAAGCCTCAACTATATAATAGTGACTTTTAAATCCTCTTCTTTCTTTTAGACATTAAATTGCTCAGAATTAAACAGATAAAGGCTCTGATCCAGAAAATACTTAAACATGTGCTTAGTTTTGGATTTCAGTGGGATTACTTGCAGAAGTAAAGTTAAATGTGTGTAACTGTTTGCAGGATCATGTCCTAAAGTCAGCCAGCAAACAGAAGCATTCCTCATCCCATAAAAGCAATAGCTATGAGAAATGGGAGGGCTGCTTACTGTGCAGCATGCCCAAATTAAACTACCAGTTTAAATACTCGCTTTTGACTATCTTAAAATACTGTCTTGGATGTTCTATGTACAGTATTTCACTACTTATTCATTAATTCCCTAAAAATACCAATGGTTTGGCACTGACAGCACATATTTAAGTTTAGCAGTGTCCTGCTTCCCGTTAAAGGAGTGGCTTGGACAATCATTGCTTAAAATCTAGCACAGTCAGTCTAATAGGACTTTTCCAAAAACAGAACCTTTATTTGGAGAAACCTATGCAACAATGCTTGCTGCAAGTTTGTTACAGTTGTAAGAACCCTAAAAATCACCCTTGCCCCTTAACGATCCTACAATTGTTTACATGAAGTCAAAGGCAATAAAGTGAAGCACATGCCTAAGTGTCTGCAGGATGGTGGCCGCAGGTGGTAGCATATCTCAGGATGGAGGAGTCTGTGTGTGTTGGAGGACGGGGCATGTGTCTGGCTGGCACCCGGGGCATTTGAGTGCTGGACTGTGCTTGGCGCTGTACACGGACACAGTCCTGTCCCAAGGATTTCTACATTTCGCGGAGGTACGGATACCGTGGCTCGGACAAGCGGAGCTGTGGGCGCTCCGGGTACAGCTGCTGGGCGCGGGGCGTAACCCAAGCAGCGGCTCAGTCACACACAGGGTCCCCCGGAGCCGCGGGCGTGGAGCCGGCGGGCGTGAGCAGGGAGCTGCCAGGGAAAGCCGGAGCGGTGCCGCACGGTCACTCCCCGGCCCGAGCCCCCCGGCGGCGGGACCCGGCGCTGCGCAGCTGGCCGGGAACGCGGAAGATGACGCGAGGCGGGGGCCCCCCGCTCCTTCCGGCAGGTCCGGGGCGGGGGGAGGCCGGGGCAGCGGCGGGGGCGGTGCCCGTGGGGAGCGGGGCAGGGAAGGCACCTACCCGCGGACAGGGCTCTGGTGACTGCGGTGACCTGCCCGTCCTCTGCCCCCCTCAGCATCGTGGCGGGCGGGGGCTGCTCCCAGCTGCGCCCGGGCCGGAGGCTCCGAACTCGCTCGCACCCTCTCGGTAGTTGCCAGGAGCCGGCGCATGGAGAGATACCCGGCAACCACTTCCGGGTCCCCGCGCGTGTCACGCGCTAACCGGCCCCCCGGGACCCAGCCCTGGAGCGGAACTGGCCCCGCTTGGCGACGTTCCCGCGCTGCAGCTCGGGCAGCCCCCGGCTGGGCAGTCGCTCTGCGCCCCACCTCTCCCATGCGCTGGAAGCGGCCTCCCTCTGGCGGGTCAGGGCACAGCGCACAATTAGCGGCCGTGGCCGGCCCGCAGGAGCCATCCCAAAGCTGGGGCCGTTGCGGCCTGCGAAGCGCCTTCTTCCTGCGGCGGGTCAAGCCACGAGGCTGAGCCAGCGCGGCACGTTGTCACAGTCTTCCCTCGGTCAGCAGGGTGACGGAGACGAAACCCCTCTCCTCCCCCCGCGCCCGCCCCCGCCCCCGCCGAGCCAGGCCTGGCTGGGGCACTCCTGCGGGAATTCCGCCCTGAAAAATTCTGTGCCCACAAAATACCCATTCTGTGGATAATATCTTAAAATTCTGCATAGTTTTGTTAATGAATAAATGTGGAGGCTGCAGCATGGCAACGGGCTGCACGGAGGTGGCAGATCGCCTTGCGGCTCCCCCACCCCAGCCCAGCAGACAGGCGCTCAGGCGGCACTTGACACAGCGCAAGAGCTGGGGTCTGCCCCAGAAACACGCCTGGGCCCTGCCCCCCTGCGCCAGGCACAACAAGATGACAAGCCAGAGGGACAGAGTCTGGCTGGCACGTCCGATCCAGGTGTGGCGCAGGCAGGCTCAGCCCCGCAAGATCCAAGTGTGGAGGAGATTAGTGGGGGGGGGGGGGGGTGAGTGGGTTCTATGTGGGGCAATCTTGGTGGATGGTCTGGGTGCAGGGGGCATCTGGATGCATAGGGGCTTGTTGGGGGGTTTTGGGTGTAAGGGGAATTGGAGCCTACAGGTGGGTCCAGGTGAAGATGGCTGGAGCTCAACAAGGGGGGTCTGGGTGTGGGTGGATGGGGCTTGGTGAAGGATGTCTGGATGTGGGGGCTCAGCAGCTCTGGTGCTGGAACTAATGGTACTGGTGGTGCTGCTGCACCCCCTGCCTTAAAGTAGTAATAACAAACATCAAAATACATGATTTCCATCATCAGCACCCCCCCTATAAAAATTGTTCCAGCACTGCTGCTCAGCAGGAGGTCTGGGTGCTGGGGGAGTGGGGCTTGGTGGGATGGGAATCTGGGTGAAGGTGGTTGGGGCTCAGTGGGGTGGGAGTTCCAGTGCAGAGGGCTCTGGGGTGTGTGGTCTGCATGCAGGGATGAGGCTCAATGGGGGTCCTGATGTGTGGGGGGGTGGGGCTTGGCAGGGGATCTGGATACAGGGAGCTCCAGATACAGGGGGTGAGGCTTGGTGAGCTGGGACTTCTGGTGAGGAGGCTTGGTTGGGGGGGGGCGGTTTCTGGGTGCTGAGGGGTGAGGCTCAGCGGACTGGGGTCTGGGTCTGGATGCATGGGGGTTGGGCAAACAGAGAGCGATGGGGGCAGAAATAGGGGTGTGGGTGTGCAGAGCTTCCTGCAGCCAGGGGAGGTTTGTAGGGGTAGGTCTGACCCAGCCACATCCACTCCTTGCAGGGCAAGAGCAAGTCCCGTCCTCCCCAGTCCAGCTGGGCCGGGACTAGGAGCTGAGCCTGGCACAGGGTATGAACCACCAGTCACAGCCTCCATAGCCCTGCCCCCCTCACTGCTCCAGGTACTTGAAATGACACGCCCATGCTGCTGAGGACGGGGGCATTACCGCGCTTGCTGCTTCCATATCAGAAGTCATTTTTCTGCAGGGAAGCAAAGAAATCTGTGGGGGACATGAAATCTGCATGCGTGCATGGCATAGAATTCCCCCAAGAGTAAGGGGACATGCTGACAGAGCCAGTAATGGTGCTGGGAGAAACAATCCATGCATTCTCAGTGAGCCCAGTGGGGAAGGACCTTAGCTGATGCAGCGTGGCTTGGGACAACCTGTGCCCCAAGAAGCTGTCTTCTCTGTTCATGTAGTATTGTCAACTTCAAGCCATCAAAAATTATGAATCAGACCCCCCCAAATCATGATTAGTCCAAAAAATCATGAGATTTAAAAATAAATATTGCTTTAGGTCAGTCTCTTGATTTTTGAACTCCCCCTGCCCCACCCCCAAAGGGTGTGTGCATGTGGCAATCAGTAGAGCCCTGCACAAATACAAAATTTGTATCCGTATCTGATCTGCAAAAATGTTCCATGGATATAAAGTGGATATTTGTGGATTTGCAGGGCTCTAACAACTAGTGTTGCCCACTCCCACGTGTACTGGATAAAGTGATATTGATCCCGTTGGGCAGATGTGGGGGTGAGAGTTCCTGCATCTCCTGCCCAGCAATTGATCCTGTCCTCCAGTTCCTCCTCACTTCTATCCCCACCCAACCACTCTCAATTTGGCTCCCCCTCACTTCAACCCCGCAGCCCGCATAATTACTAACCCATCAGTTCATCCCCCCTACCTCATTGACCCCCACTGCCCTCAGTTCACCCTCCTAGCCTTCACCCCCATCTGCTCAGAACCAACCATCATATACCCCCCACCCCATCAGCCCTCACTCCTCACTTCAGCCCCGCTTACATACTTTGGCCTCCCAGTTGGTGGAAGCCTGTGGGCCCAGTGGCTAATTTGCCACTGATTGTGTTGAGGTTATTGGTACTGGATCTCCTTTTAAAAGTCCAGTGTCTAAATTCTCTTGAGGTTTTCCACTTTTCTCACTAGGACTATCATGGCTATTATGCTGTGGCTGAGGCAGTTGTTGGTCTTTGAACCTTTGATCACATGAACACTTTATGCAAAGCTTTTGTCTTTAAGTTGTTTATGTGGTGAACTAGTCCATGTAGTTCAGAACATCTCCAGAGCTAGTCAAGGCTGGGTCAGTTGATTTCAGCTCTGAAAGGAGAATTGTAAGTTTCTTTTGATATGACTATTCCGTCTGCTTCTGAGTAGACTTTAAAGTCAATGTTTCTATGAACATTCATTTTCTCTCTCCATGCAGGCTCTGTGTCATCACTTGTGATAGATCTGAGAAACAATGGATATTGGTTGCCTGCAACAGTCAATTGCCTAATTGCCAAATAAGAGAAACAGTTGCAAAGCGTCCATATTTTGAATGCTTGTTGCATATTTCACCTTTAGCTGGACACACATCTCTTGAGCTACGAAATTTTCCACATCTTGTGCATTTAGCTTGAAAGCATTTGTAGTCTGCCTGGAATTTGTCCTTATTCTCAGGGCTTTTATGGTAATGGTTTCTAGCACTCCTGGTGTGACTGCTTACAGCTTCTAAGCTTATTTCACATTTTTCAAATTGCTCCTGTCTCTTGTTCTGCTGTCTGACTAGTTTTGACCACATTGCTATCTGTGTAGCAGTGGTTAGATTTAAGTCTGTCTTTAATTGTGGTTGCTGTGAGAGGTTCTTGTGTGTTAACTCAGTAACCAGCCTGTTTCTGATATTTTCTTGTTTTGCAGCCAAAAAAACAAAGTTTTCAGCCAATGCAAGAAAAGCTCTTATAAAAGTCAACATTTCTTTTGGTTCCTGAATTCTCTGGTGCAAACATACTCTTTCATAAACCACATTTCTCTGAGGTATAAACTATGCATCAAACATAGGCAAAACTCTTTGACTGTCTTCAGTAAAGGTAAAAGATTTTTTTTAATGTGCTGTGCTTCCCCATAGCATAAATTAAAGATGATACCTGAATATCTCCAGTTTCCTTATGGAGTTTTGTAGTAATGCGAAATCTTGCAAAATGTTGCTTCTGTGTCACCTTCTGGATGAACAATCAAAGCTGAAGTTCTCTGGGGCAGTGAAGAATGTTTATTTCTGTTTTCCTTCTTCTATGGCATTAGCTTACTCTTGACACCATGTCATGTATGTCTTCTTCACTGTAGGTTGCAGGACTGCTATTAGCAGGTCAGGCTTCTGCACTAGATATGGACTGGCTACAGATCTTCCTTCCCAAAGAGAGACACTAGAGATGTGTCTTCTATGACAGAGGTTCTCAACAGGTGGGTGTGGCCCCATAGGGGTCTGCAAACCCTTTCAGGTGGGCTGCAGTGCCCCACGGCTAAAACCCAGAGCCTGGTCTTTGGTGCCCCCCATGGGGTTGAAGCCCTGATCCCCAGTGCCTCCTGCTGGGCTGAAGCCAGGAGCAGCAGGGTTGAATTCCAGAGCCCTGGTGCTCCCCACAGAGCAGAAGCTCTGGGTTATGGGCAGAGTTGGGAGGACACGTGGGTGTTGCCCTCTCACCCTAAAGTACAGTGCAAAAGCAGGGCAGTTCCAGGGCAGCTCCAACCCCCCCCCCCACCTCCTTCTCTCCCTGCCCCCTGGTCAGCTCGGAGGTGGGAAGCCAGAGCCTGGCAGTGCGGGACAGCTGCTGCTCTGGCTGGTGCCATGGAGCAGGCAACTGTGGTGTTCCCTCATCTCCTGCTGCTGCTGGTGCTAGGGGTTGAAGCTGTTCCTCGGTTCCCAGCCCTCTTTGTTCACGCAGC